AATTTGTTCTAAAAATAGAAAAATTGTCCCATATCATAGGTGCGCGCGGATCCCAAGACTTACGGTCTCCGTCCCCGATTATGGCTCCTGTTTTTACTCAAGGTCTCACTTATTATATTTACTTACTTGCTATAATTGATTGCTTATTTGCTTACATGTACCTTACTCACTATTTTTCTAGGTGTGCCGCAAACTTATCAATGATATGTTGTTCTGTGAGAATCGAGAGTCTGAAGATTGTCCATTCCATGATCAGCCGCAGTTAACCGGCAGATTCATCGCTTTCTCTGCTTTTCACACTGTGATCGATCGTATAGGCGCTGTGATATGCGAGGACAGGCCCGTCACGGTAGAGCAAATAGGCTGTGCTGCAAGGAAGTTCTGCTCCAAGCCGTACAACGTGGTGAAGCCGATTGATGAAGGATATGTGAAGTTCTCGTGTTTGTGGGGAAATTATGTGTACGAACTCTTGAGTAAAGGTTATAAAATGCCTCAGAACAAGCAAATTTACGTTCAAAAGGAATTAAAAGGGTATTCATTAAGCTGGATCATGGGAGCCGTGTTGTACAAAACTGAGTTGCTGTAAATGTCGAGAAATACGCGAGGAAAATTCTTCATCTAAGCTGATATGGGGTGTATTCGTTTAGCTGTTTTAAACTTCTTCCGGTTAGAGAGCTTTTCTTTCTTTTTGTTGTCATGGTTTCCGTAAGTATTACTGCACTGCAATGAACTTTTCACTTTTCAGTTTTCATCAACAGTTAAGTGACTGAAGGTGTTTTGCTCAATAGAATGTGATCTTTCCTTTTCTAAGGGACGATATTATTCCTTAAGCTAGGGTAATATTTTGTTCAATAGTCGAGGTAACGTTATTAAAAGGGATGATCTCTTTTCAATAAACTCGATAACTCTAAAATATTGATCGATCTTTGCTTTCAAACCTACCACCATGCCGCTCTATGCCTCTTATCCACGGAAGAGTAGAACGAAATATTCTCTGGTTGATCTTAACTAAAACCGTTCTATGGAGCACCCATATACCTAAACTCAAACAGATGTTAACAAAGAGAATATGAGGCAAAAATAAAATTCCAGCTGAAAGTAGCATCCACATGCTTCGTTATAAAGGACTTCGACAAAATTCTTCCCGTAATTCAGTTTCAGTAAACTTCCTGACGGTCTGTGCTCTAATCGAACGATTTTAGTTGGAGGTCACCCATGGAAACCAGCGTTGAATAACTGAAAATTTTGATCCACAAATCTGTATAGTCGGTCAAATCAGGTGCCTGTAAAACCACCATTCCTCGTGCAAAGGTCCCAGGGTCTGGGACGAGAATCATTTATTTTCATTTTATTTTTTACTTTTTCTTTGAGGATCATTTATTATGATGACATGTTCTGGTTTTCACGAGGAGAAAAATGGAAAAAGATCGCAAAGTATAAGCACAATTAGAAAAGTGGTAGAGGTCTCGAGAAAAAGGTGGAAGGGCACAACATTAACTAGTATGCAAAATCTAGCCAGCCATTCCTTAAAGAGCAAGACTTTTTAATTCTGTTCGAAGAGTTTGAAAAGTGATGCATGAAAATAGTGCAGGACTTTTCTATGGTTGAGTTTACTTATTGCTTTCAGGTTGCCATTGAAGAGTCGAGCGCAGAAAGTAAGGTCAAGGTGGAAAGTAACATAATAATGTGCGCGCGAAAGGACGAAAGCTTATGAGTTTAATTTTTCTATGGACAGGACACTGGAACAAATCAGAATAATGCGAATAAGGTGGGGGTGTGCGGCCCGCTTCCCAAAACAAATTCCTTACCC